TTTGTCATCGTGTGTGTGTGTGGGGGTGTGCAGCTGATTTGGAAAACATGTTGCATAGATGAACACTAGGGCCCCATGGCCATGAACCAAGACAACAACATTGAGGTATTTAGTCTATTGTTCATTGACATGCTGCTGCACCCTTCTTGAGCCATGTTTGCAGGATAATACGTAAAGCTGCTTTCTTCTGTCAAACTGTCAAGTTTGCTAATAAGTGACACTCATGGAACCTTAATAAGTGACAACACACTGACTTCTGAAGGTTCTTGTCGCAACAACATGTTTACTATGCTTTGTCGATAAATGAGTAACATGGAAACTCCAAATAAGGCAATTTATGACGATTACAGCGCTATCACAGCGCTCAAGCGGATTGAACATCATTTGTTTTTTTCTGATTTGTCGATAAATTAGTACAAGACATGGAAACTCCAAATAAGGCAATGTATGACGATTACAGCGCTATCACAGCGCTCAAGCGGATTGAAAATCATTTGTTTTTTTGATTTGTCAATAAGTCAGTAACATGGAAATTCCAAATAAGGCAATTTATGACGATTAAAGCGCTATCACAGCGCTCAAGTGGATTGAAATTCATTTGTTTATTCCAACTTATCGATGATCTGATTGGCAAAACTAAATTCCAAAGGTGATGCCAACCCGTGCTCATTGTGCCACGGCCACCACAACTGAGGCTTTTCATTGAGCAGCCAGACGTCGCCAGAAACTTGGCATTGGAGGCGAACCGTTCACCTAAGTAAGCGCTGGCGCTGTGATAGCACTTAAATGTGGCGGCGCTGTGATAGCGCTGACTGTGCTGTCTCACCAGTTTAACTTGGAACCATTGGCCTTTCAAATCAACCATGGTTCTTGAAAACACCCAATGACTTGATGATAATGTTGATGAATGGCTTTTAGAATGGATGAAAGTCATGGATGAAAGTCACACTGCCTATTTTGCATTCTCAACCGAGGGCGCTGTCACAGTGCAAAATCCATGTCAATACCACTTACCTCACTGGCAAACAATTTCAGAAACGACAGTTTTGAGTCACCTTTCGACCTTAAAAAACAATGGGGCCCGAAGAAGTTGGAAAGACATTCGATGAAATCATCAGGGTCTGAGTTAAGGTGTCAGGCGTCAGGGTTGCACATGTCTTCAAACTGCTTTGAATGGTCAATCAATTTTGGCGCTGAGATAGCGCTTTAACCAACCGTGAAAATAAAACATCACATTTCGCACTGCAGTGATGTTGCTGAAATTGTGAACGAAGCTTAACTACAAAAAAAAACGTTCAGAAATTAATTAACCATGATCCAGTTGACAGGTCACTAAGGCTGACTCAAGATTTAACAAAATTTGAAAGTTTCAGCTTAGTAGATGATAACTTGCTGATGAGGATAGATGACATTGCTGTCCAGTTTACGGTCTACAGCCCAGGCCATACTACTGCTGCTTGGGCGCCCAGCCGTGATCCTGTCACTCACCAGGCAGGGACTCAAGCCTGAGCGTTAGCCGAGAGTACGTAATTATATAATGATATATATAAATGATTATCTGACTTGAAATTGTTAAAAGGGGTGAGAGCCCAAAAGCACTATCAGCACTCTAATTGTCAATGAGAAGCAAGCGCTATCCCAGCGCGTGATGCTTTGGAAAAACACAGGAATCGCAACCCAATAGATTGAATTAGCCTCGTTTCTGACTATTAGTCAGATTCCTGGGAAGTAGACTATTTTTCAAAATCGTTAGTTTGAAGGTTGCCGAAATCGGCAAATTGTGATGTGTATATTTTCTATTTTTCTTTGTGCCGATTTTGTGCATCGTGAAAACCAAAAATCTATAGATTTCCCAATCCTTGATTCTAACTATTAGTTTATTTTTTTAAACTATTAGTTAGATTTGGGCACCCTCCCATCCACAAAAGAGGGTCGAAAGTAAGACAGAGTTTCTATCAAAGTACGACCGTGTTTTTTCATGGTTTTGCAAATACGATCAAACTACGATACGATTTTGTGAGTTCAAATTGAAAACTACGACCAAACTACGACCGAACTACGACCGAACTACGACATGTTTTTTTATTGAAAGAAAGAGTTTTCACATATATAGCCTCATTTCCTTTTATCAGATGTCTCTGTATATGCTGCCTTCTGTTGCATGTGCCATGTGCGTTTTGGAAAATGTATATATATATAATTATATATCTTTTTATTTTTACGTATATATGTATATATAAAAATAAATTAAATAAAATATAAGGTTTTTGGTTATCTACATGTATGTGTATATATATATGGACAAAAACGATATGCGTGTTTGTATTCATTTTTATATATGGGGGTGTCTCAAAAAGGGGGTGCCCCATATATACATATTCACACACACATATATATAAATAATTATACATATAAATATATATATATAAATAATTATACATATATAAATATATATACATATTCACACACATATATTTATATATATATATATATGTGTGTGTGTATTTTCAAAATTTGAAAGATTGGTATAATTTTGATCTGGGAGAGTGCCTCAAGCACCGCACGCAATTCTCTTGCAGTATTTACTGCAAAGACAAGGGGGACCTGGAGAAAACAGGTTGTTTACTTTTCATATATTATAGATATAAAAATTCAACAGGGTCTTGTTTTTTTTGCAGGTCGTACGCACGGGTGAGAAGCCTTGAGGGACCATACACCAAAAACAAATGCCGAAGTCATTCAATATATACAAAAATCATATACCCTGAAAGGCCTTGTCAAAATTCCTCAAGTTGGCCCTATCAAAGCCTGAAATTAGGAGGTTCCAGCCAGGTATATTAAATATACCTGCCAAAAGCGGCTCAACTGAGGCCTTCCATGGCCCAACTATGGCCCAACTAAGGCCCAACTAAGGCCCAACTAAGGCCCAACTAAGGCCCAACTAAGGTCTTCCATGGCCCAACTAGGCCTCAAAATGCCTCAAGTTGGTCCTATCAAAGCCTGAAATTAGGAGGCTCCAGCCAGGTATATTAAATATACCTGCCAAAAACGACTCAACTGCAGCCTTCCATGGCCCAACTATGGCCCAACTATGGCCCAACTAAGGCCCAACTAAGGCCCAACTAAGGTCTTCCATGGCCCAACTAGGCCTCAAAATGCCTCAAGTTGGTCCCATCAAAGCCTCAAGTTAGAAGGTTCCAGCCAGGTATATTAAATATACCTGCCAAAAACGACTCAACTGCAGCCTTCCATGGCCCAACTAGCCCTCAAAATTCCTCCTTCATGTTTTTGCAGAGTGCTCTCGTTTACATGTGCCATATACAAATTATATCGATACATGCTGAAAGAAACGAACACATGTGTTTGCCCACACCGATGTTACACGACCATATACACATGGGAACATTTTCCATTTTGTGGAAATCTTCGACATGAAAGAGCAAACAGGTGGTATTGTCGTGTATGTTTTGAGGGTCGTACTTTGATAGTAGTTTGGTCGTAGTTTGCTTTCGCCAAAAACTAACTATTTCCTAGGAAATAGACTATTTCCTAGGAAATAGACTATTTAAAATCTATCTATTTCCCAAGTTTGTAGTTTATTTTTTTTGACGACAAAAACTAACTATTCGACAACTTTATGTCCTAGATTTCTGTATATTTCGTCACTTTTTTTGAATATTTCTTAACTTTTTTTGGCGACGAATCTATATATTTTGTAACCCCTCATATCTAAAGATTCCTACAAAATAGTCTACTTCCTGTGAAATAGACTATAGTCAGAAACGAGGCTAATTCAATCTATTGGGAAGTCACCAGGGTGCTGATGATGATGGATGGTGATGGTCCATGGTGATGGTGATGCTGATGCTGATGATAGTGATGATGATGGTGATGGCGATGATAGTGATGATGATGGTGATGGTGATGATAGTGATGATGATAGTGATGATGATGGTGATGGTGATGATAGTGATGATGATGATGATGATAGTGATGATGATGATGATGATGATGATGCTGATGCTGATGTTGATGTTGATGTTGATGATGAATCAGCTGACCTTTTTTTTACCCAACCAGGCCCTGGTCGCATCTGGGGAGTCCTGCGGCGCTCGCTCAGGCCAGACCTGTGCAGGGCACCAAAAAACAACCCAAAAACTAAGTCACCTTTTGGCGCCCAAAGGTGACATGTATGTATGGGCGTGGCAAGTCAATTACATGGTGGCTTCATGGACTCTCTCTCATCAATGATGGGGGGCAGCAACTTTTATTGCTCAAGATTTGTGCGTTTGCCAACACCTGCATTTGGATGCCTGTTAAAAAGAAATCTAAGAAATTAGGCCAGGCAAATTCGCTTAATGGAAAACGCTGGTTAGACTGGCTGTGCCACGTTCGTGACCATTCTGGCGGTAAGTACTTCCTGGCTCTATACTTGACCCAAGTCCTATGCATCAGAATTTCTCAAGCTTTGCAACTCAGAGTTTGCGACTTCAACTTCAGGGATCGCACTGTGTGGATTGCTCCCTTCAAAAGGCATGCTGCAGCGACGAAGCCCTTGGTTCCGTCAGCTGCCAATACCCTTCAGCAAATAAAGGTGGAGGGCGTCAAATCGAAGACGCAGAAAAATTTTTGCTGGCCCAAAAAAGGCTATCTGTTCCCTTCCCGGAAAGGGTCAAAACAGCCCTACATGTCCAGGTATGTCATGGCGCACATGATCGCTAAGGTTCGCACCAGCTTCTTGGAAAAATTTGCTCACAAGTACCCTGACCTGGTGGCTGGGAAGACAATCCGGTCTCACAGCGGCCGTCGACATGCAATCACTGCTTATGCAGAAAGCGGGTTGGATCCCCTTATTGGTATGGCCTATGCTCAAATCAGTTCATTCAGAGTGTACCGGTCATATGTGGACATCCAACCAGATTCGACAAGACGCAAGATGAGCAAGCTCGACCAGAAGGCAAAGCTAGGCCGCATCTAACTTTCAATTTTAACTCCCCGTGATGATGTTTCACTGACCTGGTCAGACCTTGTATCCGACACTGGGAAGAACTCCCTGCAGCACGCGTGCTAAAAGTGGAACTGGGATGCTGTTTCCGGCTGCACCGCGCACTTGCCTCTCAGACACCAACCCACAGGGGATAGAATGAGGATGGATGCCTTGTAGTCTCAGAATCTCATTTGTTGTCATTTTGCGGCCCAACCATGTCATCCAAAAGCCTCCAGATTGCGAACGTGTTCTAGTAAGAGTTGGGCACATAGACTTCATCATTGCTGCCCTTGAGCCACCGAGGTCCGCAACCCAGGCCTCGGCAGGGTCCTCGCCCCGAGCACGGAGTCTTTTGAGGACTTCGATCAGGTTTGTACGCTCTGAGGCGTTGAGGGAGCCAACACCAATGCCTAGTTCAGCTGCTCTTGTCTTAGTCAACTTCGTTTTCAACAAGTTGCGTAGCGGCGTAGTGGGAACCTGCAGGTCCAGTCACTGCGCAGCAAAAAAAATCAGAAAGATAGTCTTAAGGGGATGGGAAGAAGTGTCTACAGTAATGTCTACTCAAATGGCTGATGTTGTCGTCGGCATGAAGGCGGTTGGAAACAATCATGCCATTGAACAAACCTAACTAACATTGCCATTGAACCTGCCTCAGTAGGCCACGTCATAGGAGACACTTGGGAATCAGAGCGAAGACCAACAATGAACAGCCTGGACCTGTTCTGGGGTAGGTAGCCGTGCTTTGCACAATGCAGGATCTTCCATGACACATTGTACAGCTGTGAGCCACGATGATCATGCAGACCTTGCAGGACGGTCATCAATGTGAGCAAAGTCCTGGGATGGCGTTGCACCAGTCCTTGTACATTTTCGAGGACAAATGCTCGTGGTTTGTGAACCGCAATCCACCTGGCCAGCGAAATCATGATTTTGCCCGAAGTCTTGTCACTGATACCTCTGCCAAGTCCTGCCGCACTGAATGGTTGACATGGGAATCCTGAGACAAACAGATCGCATGTAGGTGATGACAGGAATTGGTCGCTGCAAACATCCACATACATATGACAGTAACCATGCATTTCCTGCGACAGAACTCTGAGATGTTTCTGGGATTCGCATGCGAAGCAAGGGGTATACTTGACCCCCAACATGTCCAAAGCCATCAGTTCGGAGGAGATGCCAGAGCAAGCGCTTCCAACCACCAGGCGGCCACGTGGGTGGACTTCAGGGCAAATGGCGCCCAAGGTTGCAGCCACACTGACAGCTATCCATTGCAGAATGTTTTGGCATGTTTTCTCAATCTTTGACATTCCAAGATTCACTGGCGCCGCAGGGTTCTGATTCTTACTCTTGATCTTCTTGTCCTTCAGAACCTTTTTGGGCGGCATGATGGAAATGCTGAGCCACGAGTTTCGGAATTTAAGCCAGAATGCTCAAAAAAATGCATATAGTGGGTGGGACAGAACATTGCAAAATGGGACAGAACATTTCTCAACGGATGAGATCTCGAATTAACATTCTCAGTTTCAAGTCTTCGCAACCAGGGCACGGACTACTACAGCAGCAGCGACGACTGCACCTCAATGAGGATGTTGTGAAGGTCCGGGCGCCAAACTGATTCGTAAGAGCACCATAAGTATCAGATCGGGTTGACAATAAGTTTGTGATTCAAGTTAAAACTTTTAGCGCTATCACAGCGCTATCTTAAAACATCAGCAGATTACACTTTTCTGTCGTCTTTCCTGCTTGTTTGTTCGGCATGAGCTGACCGGACACCTGCTACAGCCAACTCAACACAGTTCAGAAGCTGGACTCAAATTGAAACATCAATGTGCACACAAAAACTTTGAATCAACGGTTGGCTGCAATAACGCAGGGTGGAATGCGCTGTCCAAAAGTCAACGTTGGAAACATGCCACACCAGTCTAACATAGTCTTGTTGACTAAGGTCAGTAGCTGACTGATCGTTCAGATGCGATTAAAGGGATTTGCACTGCTCTTCAGTGCATTGTCAGCCAACCCCCACGGGCCGAAATGCAAGGCAATGGAAAAGATGGAGCAAGGCCAGCCTTGATACTAATTTAGACTTAGAAGATCCAGGTTGACAATAAGTTTGTGATAGCGCTGTGATAGCGCAAACTTATTTTGAAGATAGCGCTGTGATAGCGCAAACTTAGTGGGTTGGAATTTGGTAAGCTTCATTAAGTTAAACAAATAGCTCTCCAAAGCCAATGGAAATGCAAGCCTGACAAGCCATTGCTCCAGTCTACTTTGGCATCGGTCTCAATCAGCCTGCTTCATGATGATGTCAATCACTCTTCACCTTCACCTTGATCTTCCTCATCACCATCCCCATCGCGAGCCTCAAGCATCTTCAACTGGGCAATGATCTCGGCATCATCTGGCTCCTGGGCACCCTTCTTGCTCTTGGTCTTCTTCGTCTTCTTCTTGGGCTGAGGCTCAGTGTCGGCTGTCGTCGTATTGGCATCATCCTTCGTCCTCTTTGGCTTGCTCTTGGCCTTGGGTTCGGCCGTAGACTCGTCACCCGTAGCATCTGCTCCTCCACGGCGGCTTCGGGTCTTCTTCGGCGTCTTCTTCTGGCCCTCATTCTTCTTTTTCTCTGATCCTGCGACAGCAGCTTAAAAAAATTATATAATGCTTTTTGATGTTGATCATTGATGATGATGTAAAATCTATCTAGGTCACTGACAGGGTGGTCGCGCAGATGCCGTGTGGGCGTCTTATTCTTGTGACCAGTCAACTGCAGGAAAACATCTTGAAAAGAAAGTTGTGTTTTTTGAATTGGTCCCCTGCTGCCTGCAAGCAAATTGGCCAACGAAGCATTGTAGATAGGACTCTTGTCGTCCAAGCTGTCATGCCACAATCTTGTGAGAACTTGAGCTTGCAAGAGATCCGCATGTTTTTGTGTCAGGGCGATCCCTACATAGGGAATCTGATGCTTCACACAATGGACTGCACAAGAACCGTCCGTCTCAGTCGCATGCAGGATCACACCTGCATAAAAGGAGTGAGTGACCTCTGCGAAGAACGTCTCGGCTTGGCAATGCCAAGAAACTGGCTCCTTGCCATCACCAAACACTGGCTTGGGCACTTTGTTGGGATTTGCGCCGCCTGTAAGGATCTTGCAGCCGATCATCTCCTTCTTGACATCAGGGGCAACACGCCAGAGATCCTCGTGCTTGGGCAAAGCAAATTCTCCGAGCATGGAAGCCATATTTGACTCCTTGTCGTTGAACAGCCGAAGCTTGCGCCTGAGTGCCAAGCCATCCGTGGTGAAACAGTGGCAGGCCTCAACCTGCTGCAGCAACCCTCTCTGGAGCTGCTTGCGGCTGAGCAATGATTCTTCCGTGTACTTCACGCTGAACAGAACCCGGTTCTTCTGCAAGTTCTTTCCATCTGGCCCCACAAAGGCAGCACCAATGCTGCTTTCCAGCCCAGGCCTAAAGCCATCTAGCACCAAGACGATGCCAAGCTCATCTTCATCACCGGATTTCTTCCCTCGAGCTTGGATCCAAGCCTGAACTACTGTTTTGAGGTGTGCTGCCTGAAAAGGCGGAATGCGCACATGAGCATGGCTGCTTGCTTCGCCAAGGACTTTGGAATCGTACACAAGGACAGCATGATGGAACTTCCTCAAAGCGGTTCCTGCCACTGCAGTGGCCTCCAGCTTCAAAGCTAAGCTCCTAGCTGTGTTTGACATGGGGACAAACTTGGAGAACTGCTTGACCTTCTTCTGCAAAGCAATCAAATGCTCTTGAAGTTCATCAGTTGAAGTACCCTCTGGGGGAGCAGGGACCAGCTGCTTCAATGCGACTTCATGGTCGGCCAAAACGGTGTCGGCATCAAGGTCGGCGGCCACCACCGAATCACCTTCTTCAACCTCTGGCTCTGGAGCCTCTGCCTGCATCAACTTGTAGATGGCATCCAGGAGCTCGACCACAGGCGAATGATTGGATACCTCCTCTGGATCTGTGGTGCCCTTCATGATGTTCTTGAGCTGCGCGTCAAAGCGGCAACCAAAGATGAGGTCCTTTTTATGCTGCGTGTGTTTCGCACATTCTGGAACAATCTGCTTTTGTGTTCAAACCAGAAACATTAACGTGTCCCTTCTGTCCTCCAACATGGTGACAAACTTGCGGGTGGATTCCAGCTCGTGGCCCATCCACTGGATGTCATCTCCCAAACACCAGGCTGCGAATTCATCGTGTGTAGCCAGGCCGCGCAACGTCTCCTGCAAAAATTGCAGACAAAAACTGACTTGCTCTTTTTTAAATCCGGCAATATACTCTCATACAAATAATACACAAATATTATCTTGGTCGTGTTGTGTTACTCTTTCGTCGTTTGCTCTCCTTGGCTTCTGGGTCATATGAAGACTGTTCCAGCCATGTTGACATTAGCCAGCGCAACAATGCGTGCTTCATCAAGCACAGATGGATAAAGCCCTTCTGCGTCGATCCGCTGGATTTGGCCCCGCACAGGAAACGGACAGTGAAGTCACCTGGATTGAGCTGACCAGCTTCGACAATGAAGCGCATGCTGCGCATGATCCAATAGATGTCGCCCTTTCCGGACTTCCCCTTGATACCTCAGCCCAAGGGAGCACCACGATGACTCAATCAGTACTCACTAAGTCGGGCCAATGATCTTATTGGCTGCAGGTAGTAATTTGCCTGTTGGGTTGAGATTTACTTGAGGAATCAGGTCAACCCTTAAAGGAAATTTGCAGCTGCAGTCAAGACACAAATCTCTTCAAGGGCGGAGGTCTGGAACATTCCTGCCTTCCCATGCTGCGCTTCATCCCGAAGAACTTCATCTAAGAGGTCTGGCTGGGAGAAAATCCGACGGTGGATTTTGACTGCGGTGTCCACCCAATTTTCTGAGACTGAATCTTCCAATTTGCTGTCAATCTCCTGCAGGTTCGTGTTGTAGATGCTAGCCAGCTCACTGTTGCTCAGCGTTCCATGTGTTGCTTCGTAAGACTCTTTGAAAGTCATCAGCTGGAAAATTCTTTGAGTGGGGCTTGGTGCAACAGCATCATACGTCGCAATGGTGCGGCGACGTGCATTGATTGCCCTCCAATAGATTGCAGCCTCACTTCGAAGGATCTCGAAGCTGAACGTCGTCGTGAGACAGACAGTGCGCCAAGCCCTCGGGCAATCAATTTGGACAAGTTGCTGGCATCTCTTGCTCAAGATCTGTCAACAGCGCTATCCCAGCGCTATAAAACCTATGATTTAGCATCATTTGGTGAACTGAGCCCCCAACGTCAACTGAACCTCATCAGCGTTTGACCTCACCAGCTCTGCGATGCGGCTGATGAGTGCAAATTCGATTTCTTCTGGGGAGCACCTGACCAAATTGTTGAACTGGTTCTTCAGGTCCCTGTATGACAAGCCGGGCTGCACCGGCACAATGACAATGTTCTGATTCACTTCTGGCGAGGAGAAATGTGATTTCTTCAGTTGTTCAATGGCACGGGGGCTGATTGGCACACCCTGCGAGCTGATCAGCCGAGAGAAATTCAACCAGAAGATATTTCCTGCACATTGGTAGACTCCTCGCGTAGAAATTGCACTGTTGTAGGACTCCTTGTCAAACACTGCCTGTGCACGGCTGGGATCCAACAATCTCAGCGAACAGCTGTTGAGAAGTAAGGTGAGAAAACCCTACTCGTCTCAACAGTCGGGGACGTCCCCGACTGTTGAGGCAAGCAGGGGAGGTACAAAACGTCATTGGTGAGGGGGGGAGGGTAAATCCCCAGCTAGGGTCAACAACCATCTACCCAGGCACCCCTGCTTCTCTCAACAGTCGGGGACGTCCCCGACTGTTGACAAGAGCAGGGTCATCCACCCTCAGCCCTCAACAGCCCGACCATTTTGAACACATTTTGAACCTACGAGTATCATCCCCGGCCTGGTGACCAGCTTCATAATGAGTAGCATCTGAGTCAATAGCAACGGGCTTCATACGTAGCACATCACTGAACACATGATGCCCAAGAACGGTTGCAAGATCTTCCTCAAACTGCGCCAGCACGGAATCATTCACATTGAGCGCCCGTGGCGTGATCTTCCAATCATCGCCCATCTTAGCAGCTGCAGCATCCGCGATAGGCTTCGGAGCGTGGGGCATTGCAATGCAGCACTGCCGAGGTGACAAACAGGCCGAGTGGTTCAAGATGCGTAAGCTTGAGCAACATTAAGAATCCGACATGTTTTGTCCATCCTGATTTCATCCAGGCACCTGTTCTCTTGGAACCATGCATCACTGAAAACGGTTGTATAAAACATTCACGAACATTGCTGTAAAACAAAAATACTGCAATGATTGCTTGATATCAGGCCATTAGGCTGCCGACTCATCTCCAGTCAAGGAGTCGCCTCATTTGCCAACTGCATTGGCATGACAGTGACAGGTCCCTATCACAGCAACACGACGGCGCTATCGCAGCACCGGGTACGCTAATTGATATAGTTACAGCGCTATCCCAGCGCTATCCCGGCACGATCACCCAGACAGCGTTGGCGCTATCCCAGCACCATCACCACACAGCGCTATCCCAGCGCTATCTCACCACCATCACCAGACAGCGATATGAACCTGTGCTGCAACCAGTTGTCGTCATAATCATCATCACGTTCATCATCATCATCATCATCATCACCATCATCATCATCATCATCAAACACTGGCTGGGGCTCTGGCAAAAACACAGGCTGACAGAGCCTTTCAGCCTGACCAAGTCAGATCATGACATCAATGGCCAAACCATGCCAAGCGAGAAGACAACAATTGAGTCAGACTCAGTGCTCAATGCTCCCACCACGGAAGCCGAAAACATGATCAAAATCAAAATTAATGGTTTCAAGAATGCAAAATAGGAACCATTGAAGAGATATGCTCCTCCTCCGCAACTTGCATGGGTGGATTAGGTCCCAGAAAAAAGCGCTGGGATAGCGCCAAGAGTGTAAGTGGATGGATGTGAGTGGATGAATGGATGGATGAATATTAGATGGGTGGGTGAATGACAATGAATGGATGGGTGGATGGATGGATGAATGAGTGGATGGATGGGTGGATGAATGAATGGGTGGATGAATGGATGGATGGAACACAATTTCCTTTGAAAGGGGTCCTCGGAGCAAAAGGGGTTCTGGGCGCGCCGAACCCATTCACCCCGAGGACCCCTTTCAAGGGAAATCTGGTTATGCGTGGATGAATGGGTGGATGAATGAGTGGATGGGTGGATGAATGAGTGGATGGATGGGTGGATGAATGAATGAGTGGATGGATGGGTGGATGAATGAATGAGTGGATGAATGAGTGGATGGATGGGTGGATGGATGGATGGGTGGATGAATGAATGGATGGATGGATGGGTGGATGAATGAATGGATGGATGAGTGGATGAATGAGTGGATGAATGAATTTCATGGCTGGACTGATGGATAGAAGGATGGACACAGGTGGTGATCAATGAACCCTTTTTTCAATCCAAAGAAGTACCATTCAGATTCATGCCAATTATATGATATAGCTTTGACATGAATGGTAACATGGATGGGTAATCCCGAGTAACATGACTGAGTGGATTACTGGAATATTTTTCAGTTTCCTGGGTGAAGCTGGTTGCAATGGACAACTGACGAACCATAACTGCCTCATTGGACGAACCATAACTGCCTCATTGGGGTCAAACAAGTTTCCAAGTCTTGGTCAAACAGTGTTGCTTGGGGGTATATGATCAGTGATGCATGGACGGACGATGGACAAACAAGGATGATCGCAATAACCTTACTGGCAAGGATAACCAAAAAAAACAAACACTATTGCACGCTATCACATCGCAACACGCTATCGCAGCGAAACCGACCTACCCAGTAACTGCGCTATCCCAGCGCCAGTACTCTAACATCTAACGCTATCTCAGCGTCAGACTAACCAGTTACTAAGTTACCTAATTTGTCAATTGGGCCATGCGCTATCTCAGCGCACAGCCAATGACAAAAAAGGAGGAACATAACAAAATAGCAAAAAATACGGTAACTCAATCTTCATCTGAGACACTGTGTCAGTGTCATCCATGGCTGCAGCAATTGGCATGGCTGGGCTTGGCTGGGGTTGTTTTGAAAAAAAATAGGAAATGCTGTATTTGTTGCTCGCCCTGCCCCCCCCCCAAAAAAAAATGACATGATGTTCTTGTTCCCTGCTGTGAGTGAGCGGCGAGTCACTGAATTTGATTGACTGAAGCGGGGCCACACCAGCAGCGCCCACGAGTTTGCAGTGTTTTTTGGTGCCACTCACGCCCTGCAGGTCTGGCCTGAACGCCGCAGGGCTCCCCAGATGCGACCAGGGCCTGGGTAAAAAGAAACGGTCAGCTGATTCATCATCAACATCATCATCAGCAGCATCATCATCATCATCAAGCATCGTCATCATCATCATCATCATCATCTCCATCATCTGCATCATCTGCATCAGCCATCAACAGCATCATCATCATCATCATCAACTCCATCATCAACATCATCATCAATGCATCATCTCCATCATCTCCATCATCTCCATCATCATCATCATCACCATCATCATCATCATCATCATCTCCATCACCATCACCATCTCCATCTCCATCATCAACATCAACATCAACGTCATCATCATCATCATCATCATCTCCATCACCATCACCATCTCCATCTCCATCATCAACATCATCATCATCATCATGATCATCATCGTCATCATCATCATCATCTGTCAACTCGCCATAATCAATCAGCATCATCGCACGCATAGCGAAAAAAAACATAAAACTGGTCGATGATTTTGAAGCTCGCAAATTTTCAACAGGAGTTTCTTGTCAATACAGCCGACCGGCTGGGCTTCCCAACGTCTGCGCCAAAGCTTGAAGAGCCTGAATATTGGGCCTGCCAGACATGATTTCGACGCCAGAAAACTAAAGATAAGAAAAAGAACAGAAGAAGCCTTGGACATGTGGAAAGAACGACGAAAACCAAAATGATATTCATGTGTATTGAGTCCAAACATGTGCAAGCATGATTAGTTGACGAGGCCGCGCTGAATATATCAGATTGACCCCGCCCATTTTTACCCATGTTGGCGCGGCTGCTTTGCACACAAATTCCTGGAAGCTACAACGAGCTTGCTGAGAAAGGTATCTTGGAATTTGATCTTGTCAAAGATATCCCTTCCCCCACATATATTCATTGCACGGGCCGTGGTCAAAGCAATGCACTGCCATCCCTGGCTCTTCCTGTGAGTGAAGAACTCATCCCATGATGACAGCAGCTTCCACTTGGAGAGAGGCAACCTGGAAGCTTGTCGAACCATGGTTGCCAGAACTTGGTGCTCGCGAGTGAAAAGAGCACACATGTAGACCTTTCGAGCGATGGCAATTGCAGGGTCGTGTGAAATGCAAACTCCTGCCTTCCCATTTGAACGCAGAAACTCCAAGTCCACCATATGCCCACCACGGAGGCCCACGGCCCATTGGGTCGTGAGACTTGGTTGGGCGACCCTTTGGACCACAAAGATTTGAGCATCAATCTCGTCACCCACCACGGTCCGCCCACGAAGGCATGTTAGATTCAGCCACGCCATGTCTTCCAAATATATTGGCTGAGAGTCCAACTTTGGCAAATCTGGCGACATCAGCGCGAACTTTCGCTTCTCAGCTCGCTGCCTACTGACGTCCAATGTAGCTCTATGCTCTAGATACGCTCGGGCCATCTGTGCCATGTCTGGAGTCACTTCATTTTCCAGCAAAGCATGGTCCAAGTAAGCGAGAAGTCGATTTCGGAATTTCTTGTGCTCTTGAAAAAGTAGCTCGCTTTGCATTTTTTCTGTCATCTCTTCCGTGGCAATTGCCTCCGTCTCTGCAATCACATCCTTTGCAGAGACAATGTGCTGAGCACCTCCTGCTTCGACCCGACGCTTCCTCAAAAAGGATGCCTCTGTATTCTCTTTCCTCTTGCGTGGGACCCCTGCATCCAACCGGTCTGTTGCTCCCTTTCGCGGGGCTGCAAACATCTCTGTCCAGATTTGCCGGGCCACTTTGCAAGTCTCTTCACTTGACGCACTATCAAAGTCACTCATTACCTTGAGCTCGGTCAACTCGTTCTCTTCTGTAAAATGATTCCGGCTGGGATCTAACTGATGCTGCCCATGACTGAAGAACTGCTCAACCCCGCTGGTGCTGCAGCCCTGCCAGGCCACATAGCGGACCAGGACAATCTTCAGAATGTCAGACGGATGTCTCATTTGTGTTGGTTTCTGTGCGGTTGATGTCCTTCTGACTGCATCAGACCATGCTGCAACATTTGTCAGCCTTTTGTTGGAAGCTGAGTGAATGGCAATGGGAAGATGGTCCCCAAATTGGCACTGCAACTGTTCGAAGTCCACGTTCAGCACCTGAGACAATCGCCTCAAATGTTTCTCCTGCGCTGCCATGTCCAACTCCGTTGTTGATGGCTGAACATCAAAACATGCAAACGCAGCTATGATGCTGAATGATGGGTACTCTGCTTCGATTGTTTGTGCTGCCAAGTGAACGAATACCTTCATTGGCTTGAAGGCTAATTCAATCATCTGTCTCGTCACAATGCCAGGACCACCAATGCACTTCACTTTCTTTCCAACCTTGAAAGCTCTGGTTTTCTGCAGCCATTGGAGCATGTGAGATGTAAATCCTGTTGTTCTGACTGCTTGCTCCTGAACAAACAAAAACTTTAGCCTGGTGACATAGGAGTCCGCAGCTGCGTGAATCTCAGCAATGTCGTGCGACTCGGAATCGAAGTGCCGAGTTAGCATCAAGGATTCGTCAGCGCCATCAGCGCACATGGCGAGAAGCAGAAGCTTCTCAGCTGTGACCCAAGTCAAAAAATCAGTCGCTGCTGTGAAGGGCTTCAGATCGGACTTTTTGTGTACTGAGATCCAGGTTGCAGTTTCGAAAAACGCTGCAGTGAAAAGACAAAATCTTGCTAAAGGCTTTTGGTAGCTGTCAAACCGGTGGGCCCTCCTGGATAAGTTTCTTGTTTGCTTTCCAAGCACAGGGCAATCCAAGCACCTATCCACAAAATCGCTGAATACTTGGGTCAAGGTGTCTGAGT